TATCTACCATGTACTGTAAGGCACTTTACGATACGCTTAATTGATGAGGCCCTTGGGGTCTGATTTGGCCTAACTCCGTGTGATCTGAAAGCATAGGCCAGCAGCAACTTCCTGATCTCACTATTTTCATATTTCACCCAAGTCAGTAGGATCCTCTGTATAGTTATCATAACGCTCGGCTAAATGCTGTTCCCATTCTCCATCGTGGAATGGCCAAAAGCCTTGATGCAAGGAGCGAATGACAGAGTCTACGAAAGGACGATTGAAATGTGCTGCCAATAAGTGTTCAAGACGTGGAATGTTGAATGGAGTTCCAACCTGAATATAGCTGGCCATCGCAGCCAGAGATCTTCTTTGATGGACACCTGGCCTATTAGCTGTGCTGTTGATTGATGGCTGATACAGCTTATTAGGGAGCCTCAGAGCCCATCAGAGTGGTCGCTTTCTGGCCCTCTTACCCTCATCATCTCCCCATCTCTGAGGTCTGCAGCATTGTCCCTTCATCCCTTTGACTTGGACTCACTTCCTGCCAGTCTTTGCAGTGCATCTCTTGCCCTAGGAGCTTCGCTCTTTTGATCTCTGTCTCTGCAAAGCTGTGAGTCTGCTGTGGTCACTGTCTGCTGCCTGATCTCAAGATACACACAGCTCCTTGTTAGATCTATCAGATCTGAAGCCTGTGCATCATACTAGGAGCCCTGCTGTGTATATTAGGTGTGCTCTTATGCTCTGATGAGTCCGGATCTTGTCTGATCTGATGCTGTGTGCTGTTAGCTTCGTTATTTTTCGCTCTTTCTCTGTGTCATCACTGTTCCTCTGCCACCATCATCCTCTATCCTTCACTCCATGTTCACCCATGCCTCTACTATGTCCCCAGATCCTTTGGATGGGTTCCAGCGCACTCAGACCCCTTCCTTCCTCTTCGCGTCATTCTTCTCCCGAGATTGATTCCTCAGTGCAGGATCGTGCCGAGCTTCTTTAGGAGCTCGTCAACGACTTCTCTGCTGGCAAAATCACCTTTCTCCACGCCTTCCTCAACCGAGGCCTCTCCTCATGAGATCAAGGACTATGTCGACCAGGTCATTGCTCTACGCGAGTACTATGAGCCTGACAGGTCCAAGTCCCCTTCACAAGAGCTCGACCTCCTTGTCGAGCTCTTGCAAGCACGCCAGCTTAAAGATCCCTTTGCTCGATCGTTCTGGTGTCTTATTATACAAGGCCGATATGTTGATTTTGAGAAGCTTTTTACTTCTCTATCTGGAACAGTTAACCATCACGATGACTTGCAGACTTTTGCTGGGATTTATCTTTTGATTAAGAAGGATACTTACTCAGCTCGTCGCACGCTTCAGTCTGAGTCTGACTGGAGTCGTACAGAGTTAGGCTAAATCGGACCCCAAGGGCCTCATCAATTAAGCGTATCGTAAAGTGCCTACTGTGCTATGCATGTGTGTAGTGGAGGGGTGGATGGAGGTGAAGAAAGACGTTTACGAAACGCAAGATGAGGAAGGTTTTAATAGGAGGATTTCTTTTGAGCTGCTAACTGCTGAGCGGCACGCACTGCTAGATGGTCGCGTATATAGATCTTCCAAGCAGATGATGACCAACGACCTAAGGCTTGAAGAATAGATTCAGCCAGTCCCAGAGATGTGTAGTGTGTTATGCCTCCAGAACGGACTGAATGACCACCAAACTCTTTACTCACCAGCGCAAAGAATTTGGATTCAAACCAGGATCGAATTGTGACTCGACTGAGAAGCAGCCAGAGTATCGAACACTGAGACGGAGTCGAGGCTGTCAGAATGAATCAACAGCGTACGAGGTGGATAGGGACGAGAGGCGGCATGATGGACAGCACATAAGATAGCTAACAGCTCTCTGAAGAAGGTATCAACTCCGGTTGTAGTTCGGAGTCGATAGCAAAAGCCATTTCCAGCGTATATAAAGGAAAGGCCCATATTGCTAGCATCTGATTTGGCCTAACTCCGTGTGATCTGAAAGCATAGGCAAGCCTGCGCATTGATGAAGCGCACTCCGATACAGTGTCGCAATGCATTGACAAACCAAGTGAGGTCAGATCTAACGTCAAGGTTCAATGGAATGCCTTTGTACTGCAGGGTTTTACCGCTGATCTTGCGGTAGAGCTCTGTAAGTGCTGGCCGTGCCCAAGGCAGCACATTCAAAGCTCAGTTGAGATAACCACCCAAGGATAGCCATTCCTTGAGAGGAGGTTTGACAACAGACAAGAACGACTCGATTCTAGTGATCATGTCTGTGATGGAGTCTGGAGTGAGGGAAATGGAGCCGTAGATGGCATCAAGCCAGAAACCAATAATCTTGAGCTGACGACCGTGCTCTTGCTCTTGCTTCTTGTCCTCATAGGGAATGCCAAGAGAGTCCCACAAGAGAAGAAGCTGGACTTGACGATGTGGACGTCGCTATCCATGAAAGAGTACTAGATTGCGACTGGTGTCCCAGCCGTAGTAGTCGTCCATGTAGTCGTGCAAGCCGAGTACGTCAAGTTCCCAAGCGATCCAGTTAACCAGACCGGAGAACGAGCACCAGCAGTATGGAGATGCACGACTTCCAAAGATGAGACGGCGCACAATGTAATAGCGACCGTCAACGATGACAACCTGCTGCAGTTGCCAGATGGGATGAACAGGGAGATTGAGGAATGCCTTCGAGATGTCACTCTTGAAGAGCAGGATTTCCTCGTGAGGGTGAGTTTGAAGGACGTCATGCAGTACCTGCCCAAAGGAGTGCATGTCGTCGTACTTCACTTTTGCATCCTCTCTCGCAATGCCTTCATTAAGACCATTGCCAGTATGGTCCATGAGGACACGTGGTTTACCTTTCTGCCACACCACGAACATGGGTGACAGGCGCATACCAGGAAGGAGCTTAAAGCCCTCTGGAAGCGCAGGTGACCAGCGACCCGCAGCGACTTCTTGATCACGGTGTTTGCGCAGCGAAGCGCACTCCGATACAGTGTCGCAATGCATTGACAAATCAAGTGAGGTCAGATCTAACCTCAAGGTTCAATGGAATGCCTTTGTACTGCAGGGTTTTATCGCTGATCTTGCGGTAGAGCTCTGTAAGTGCTGGCCGTGCCCAAGGCAGCACATTCAAAGCCCAGTTGAGATAACCACCCAAGGAGAGCCATTCCTTGAGAGGAGGTTTGACAACAGACAAGAACGACTCGATTCTAGTGATCATGTCTGTGATGGAGTCTGGAGTGAGGGAAATGGAGCCGTAGATGGCATCAAGCCAGAAACCAATAATCTTGAGCTGACGACCGTGCTCTTGCTCTTGCTTCTTGTCCTCATAGGGAATGCCAAGAGAGTCCCACAAGAGAAGCAGCTGGACTTGACGATGTGGACGTCGCTGTCCATGAAAGAGTACTAGATTGCAACTGGTGTCCCAGCCGTAGTAGTCGTCCATGTAGTCATGCAAGCCGAGTACGTCAAGTTCCCAAGCGATCCAGTTAACCAGACTGGAGAACGAGCACCAGCAGTATGGAGATGCACGACTTCCAAAGATGAGATGGCGCACAATATAATGGTGACCGTATGGTCCATGACGACACGTGGTTTACCTTTCTGCCACACCACGAACATGGGTGACAGGCGCATACCAGCAAGGAGCTTAAAGCCCTCTGGAAGCGCAGGTGACCAGCGACCCGCAGCGACTTCTTGATCACGGTGTTTGCGCAGCTCAGTGAGATCGCGCTCCTCAGTAGAGTAATTGTCTTTGATCTGCTCTTTGAGGTGCGCTTCCCACTCACCGTCATGTAATGGCCAAAACCCTTCACGAAGCGAACGAGTAATAGACTTCACAAAGGGTTGATTGGGATGTTTGGCCAGAAGTCGCTCAAAGCGGTCAACATTGATTGGTGTGCTGACCTCGATATAGTTGGCAACAGCAGCAAGAGACTGCTGAATGGTAGGATCATTGCGAATATGTTCAGGAGGTAAAGGAAGTGGAGGAGCAGTATAAGTGGAAGAAATGCTCGGAGGAGCTTTTGATTGTAATGCTACATTCGTAGTAAATACATAGCCACGCTTAAAGTGTGGAGGTGGTGGTACAGCATCGGATTTACGCTTCAACGATTTAGGCTTCGACATTGCCGCCTGAACTCGGTCCTGCACGACTGACAGCTCGCTTGGCTTCGAGGAGGACAAGGCAGGCTGGGTAGCTTTTGGCGGTGTGCTTTCCTCCGCACTCACTGCAAGTACCGTGTACACGGCTACCCGGGCACGGAGATGGGCATTCCAGATTCCAATTCTGGCAGATGATGCGACGACGTGTTGCAGGCTGTGAGCTGCTAGAATCAGAAGACCGCTTGCGCGGATTAGCCGCCTCAGAGGTGCGTAACATCTCTGTAAGAAGCGGTAACTGGAGCGCATTGCGGTCATTGAGATTGAAAGGGGAGTTAGCATAGCGAGTGCGAGTCTCCTTATCACAGCGAATAGGGAATGCTGGATTCGAGGGCGTGGCGCGGAACAGTTCCACAATGAGTGCGCGATAGCCCTAGAGTTCGTCCTTGCAGTGAGGGTAGATAAGCCCAACACCGGTGGCATACACATCAAAGACGCGTGTCCACTCGGACTCTTGAGTGAGAGTCCGGCGCGCAGAGACGTGGTCCTTGCGGATGAGCACAAAGCCCCCAGCAAAGTCCTTTGTGTCCTCTTGCTGATTCGTGCCAGAGTGGATCGAGGCATAGAGTTTCTCAAAATCCACGTACTGGTCCAGCACGATTGAGCGCTAGAGAGAGCGTGCAAACGGGTCGTGGAGTGACTGCGTCTGACACACATTGATGATAGCGTCGACATCCTTATCATTGGTAAAGAGCCGACGGAGACGCTGAGTCTCTTGGAGGTATGGAGAGAGATTGGAGGGCTCAGTATCAATACCATTACTAACACCTCCATGAGCCATCCTAGCTATTCTAATTACTTACTAGCAGAGTACAGAATAATAAAAAAGCGCTTCAAAGGGAATGCCCACTATGAGATTCGAACCCGCATCATCACGGGGAGGGCATGTAATGCTCAAACCAACTGAGCCAAGCAGGCTTTCCTGAGCATAGTGTCAGAAGCCTATCGAGTCCTGACTCAACTCTTTGAACTTCACAAATTGAAAAATCTCTGAACTCACACATCTCTGAATTCTATAAGCTATAATCTATATCTATATAATCTATAATCTATAATCTATATAATCTATAATCTACAATCTAAATCTAAGTCTAGTAGGTCTATATGTAAGTATATGCATAAGTAAGTCTATAAGTATATGTCTGTGTAGAGAAAAACATACAAGTACGATCTCCAGTTTCTGTCCACGGATATCCATGAAACGGATCGCAGATCGATCCGGTTCACGATCCGTGGCAGTCTCTATGGGCATGCTGCGGGGTTGAGTCCATCGTGCCAGGAATAAGACAATCGTGGGTATGGCAGGCTTCGGACTCCCTCGTCCTTCTTGGACTGCCCTCGTCTCGTTATAACGAGTGCGCATTTGCTTTTTAACACACTTGTGTACCCTTGTACAAAATGAATGACGCCTCAGGCGGAACAATGTCTAAACATTCTCATCTTGGGTTAAAGTACCATTTATCCTGAGAGGCTTTTCGAGCGGCTTGTCTAGCCTTGTCTGTGTGATAGACAGCCGGGCGTCTACCTGCATGTCGAAGTTTGCATGGTTGTCCGCCGGGCATCCGAGTAGGTGATGGTAGTAAAGCAAGGGAGATCGTGCTCCAACAAGTGCTGAACGCGATTGAGTTACTATAGTGTAAATGAACGCGAATGGATGATACTGTGAAGCTATCAGATACAAACTCGAAGAAATGCGGGAAAATCATATAAAATACATCCAAATGTCCTCTTTCAAATGGTCTATTCAGAATGTCATGGAAAACCCGTGGTCGTCGTCGCCAATGGCGGAGAGGCGCCCAGAGTTACGATGGAATGTGACCCGATGCATGTCACACATGATCAAGGATCTGTTTCTACCTCCAAGTAGCCGCCGCGACGCACATGTTCAACACGCTCTGATCCCCGCAGCGTCCACTATCCGTCTAGTCCACTGAGTGATACCTATCCCGCTGCGACGCACGTGTTTAACACGTCCTGGTCCTCTCCGCGGTGTCCACTCTCCTTCTGGTGCACTGACTGATTATGCCCCGTGCAAAGTGAGTACCTTACGCTCGTTATTCAGAGAGATCCTGACCCTTAAGGCACTGAGGAAACGCACGCCGTGTGCATGCTAGTCATTTTCACAATAATGGGCTGGAGGTAAACGCACAGGCCCTCCAGCAGGGCGAACAGTGAGCCCATCTGGACGTGTCTGGTATGAAGATATTCACTACCATTGCAGCTATGCCAACTCGGAATATGTGTTAGGCCTCGTACCCCTCGACAGCGCTTTCAGACCAGGCAGAGCTTCTTCAAGATATGACATACAATATATTGCATCCCAAGGGGGAGACAATGACGAAGATGAAGTGCTATTCGTTCATTTAGTCTCTGGTGGTCGTGTACAGTAGTAGCAGTCGCCCACTTTCATTTTTCCACAAAATTGTTGTGATCTCTACTCGACTATCTAATTGTATTACGATTAGGAACCGAACACGTGGGCTACATAATATATCCCGCTATACAAATTTTTAAACACAGCAAATGAAACACCGTTCTTTCTCCATCACTCTTTGATTTTAGAGAGCGGTCTTGTCAACACAAACCGCGGTTCGGTCTCGGCCTGACTTGTCGGGCCCGCTACTTTGCAGCCAGTTTTTGTGAAGGCACACTGAAGAGCGTCGGTGTGTCGTCTCATTTGTCCACTCCCAAATGATAACGACTCTCAGTTTGTAGTCCGGTCTTGGTCAGGACCGTTTTGCGAATCGTATTGAGGTTGCCATTGACAGGACACCGCCTTCCTTTACCTCCACCTTTTTTCGAAAGAATTTCATGATGCGGGATCCGCCTGTCAGGGGAATCTCGATGCCTGCTGAGTTCAAGACTTTCTGGTCTGAAGGGCACACTCAGGCGACCTCAGGAATGGCGATCTCATCGATACACAGGTGCCTTCTCGCCAGTCCCAGCATTGCAGCAAGAGGAGTTTTCTGACTGTTGGATCTGCACGAGAAGTCTCCGTTCAGGTTCTTCGATTTTTCGTTGGACGAACAACGCCGGCAGATACCGCCGAGGACATCTCAACGCGGGGCGAGCCGATGACAAGTATTTAGTATGGGAGGATTTGGGTCATTCGTGTCGCCTGGTCCATCCCTCGCTCGACTACGACTCCAAGATGGCTTTGCGTGAAAACGAATCCGCGCTCCTCTATGACCTCTATTGGTCTCAAGACCCTTTTGACGGGGCCACAGACCTTCCTCTGGTCAACGTGGTGGGTGTTCTGTGACGGTTCATCATCAACATGTACTGACTCCTCTCCTTCCACAGCGTGCGCAAGAGTTCGAGATTGGCTATAATGTACAAATCATTCCGATGTCGATTTCCATCTGCTAACTCCCGTTTGTTTTCTGTTAGCGCTTCATTCCCAAGCAGCTCCGCTGCGCCAATAACTGCTCCTCGGACTGGGGCTCTCTGTTCGACGATGCCATGCGTTCCAGGAACTTATCGAGGCTTCACCTACGCGAGCGCCAGCTGCACTTCGAGATCAATCGCCGTTGGCCCATACCTGCCGGACCACACAAAGCGGAGCAGCAAACCATCCGACTCAGGGTACGTGAATTGTTTGGTTTCGATTATGTTCCTCGCTGAATCTTGTTGCCACTTAGGTTTGGATTGAAGTAATGTGGTTTTTCCACATGATGCGTTGCCTTCATTTCGGGCTGTGCGCGCCAGCGCCTTTGTCCCTTACACATCGAACATCTCCCTGAACCTGTACCAGCTTCGAAGCTCTCCGCATCAACCTCGTTCACCCGTCCCACCAGCCTCTGCCGCGCCAGCCTCTTCCGCCGCAACCTCTTCCACATCGTCTTCGTTCTCCTCAGGCCCTGTCCGTTACACTTCGAGGGTGCTTCCTGCCTTGGATGCTGAGATGGAACAGATCTCTGGGCTCAACGATCCATCGGTCATTCTCATCGCGGCGCGCCTGGAATGCCTTGAACGATTCCCCGTGCCCGCTGACTCCCACCAACCATTCTATCTTCGTAATCCTCGCATTGCTCCCTATTCTTTGCCCGTACCGTCGAGGCCTTCGCAGTCCCACAATTCTCAGGAGGAGAATACGCGCCTCCTTAACGACGCTATGGCGCCTCAGCGAACAACTCCTGCCATACATCACTCTTCCCCCTCAGCTCAATCCCTCCATCTACCGTTCACCCACTCGCATCCAGTGCTGCGAGTTCATCGTCGCAGGCCGACACCGCTACAACCGTCCCTAATTCTCCGGTCCTTAACTCTTCCCGATCTTCCCCCGGAGTAGCTTCTCATTTTGACATTCTTATTGCTTGTCTCAAACGAGTCCTGCCGAACCATGCAGTCACATGTTCTTGCCAGTTTCTAGTCGATGAACTCAATTCAGACGGGATCCGGCATGCATAGTCTAACCTCAACGCACTGGAGCGCATCACTAACAGATTCTGGGAAGTCATCGCTGAGGAACTCAGGGTGCGTCGTTGTGAGTCCAAGTTGGTCTCCAATTGGGAGGACGAATATCTCGCAAATGCTCGCGAGGACAAGAAACTTGCAGCAGAGGTGGCAGAACTTTTGCATGGACATCGTCTCTTGCCATCGCCGCCTCCTTCTCCTCGTCATGAACAGCCATATTTCATCTCTTCCGCGCGCGTCTCGGGTCTACGAGCACTGCCTACAACTCGAATTGGTCCCGTACCCCCACAATCACGGAGCTGAACGCTGATAAGCGAACTGGCGAACCGGCGAACTGGCGAACAGGCCAATAGGGGCTCTGCGTTAACACTGGATAATATAGTATTGGACTGCTTTCTAGGCATATTTTACCACCTTGTAAGCTCGCTCTAGTTATCCAGTGAGCTAGGACATGAATCGGAAGTATTTTTTACGTACTGAGGGGCACCTTCCTTTCTGGGTTGTTTGACACGTTCATTTTCACTTGCCGCATACCCTCATGTACTGGCTCGTTTCATTGATTAATTCAGTGAATGCCCTCACACAGACCATCCCCTCTATGATCTATCAAGAATATACCCTTGTCGGCTGTCTTGTTATTCCTACGCCTTTCTATCGAAGAAAGGACACACAACCCGGCAACTCCTCCTCAGCATCTCTCCCCAAGTATCATCCAGTTCCTTGCATCGGCATGTACTTTACTTTCTGAGGAGGTGACCTCGCTTTGGGATGCACTACGCGTTATGATATGGAAGTCGGATGAGGATCCATTACTGTTGGGAATTCGGGACAGCGAGTCGTATGAACGCTTATTCAGGGATCATGGTCATGTACTTGGCTTTAGTGTGTCGCTTTTACCTTTCTTCCTCTTCTCAACTAATTGCCCTTAGCCTCGTCGCGAAATCTCTGGCCACCCGTTCAGCACTGCACGAATGCCCAGTATCAGCAGTATGGGAAAGGGTTCAAGCTCCATACAGCCACCCAAAAGCATGCTCTTCTTCTCTCCCTTTCCCTTGGTCCTATCCCCATTCGGGCCGTCCACTTTCGTTGCAATGGCTGCGACACGACATATCATCACAATTATCGCGTCCAGCACAGCCTATGCTTTCAGATCACACGGAGTTAGGCCAAATCGGACCCCAAGGGCCTCATCAATTAAGCGTATCGTAAAGTGCCTTACAGTACATGGTAGATAATACATGAAATGTAGTTACTGTAATTACAGTGGGAGAGGTGGGAGGGGACGCAAAAAAGCGGAGCTAACTGTGACCAGATAACACAGATTAGCTGGAGGGGAGTGAGACAGTGCAGAGAGCGCACCTGTGACCAGATAGCCCACAGAAGTGTCCTTGATAAGGAGTCCTTGAAAAGGAATGGGTATCTGGGCACAAAAGGCATCAGCTCTGAAGAGCTGGATATGAGACATTGGCACATACTGGAAGCAGAGGGAGCAGGAAGAGCTG